ACTTATTTACAAGCGATAGAGGATTCCAAGTCAAACTCAAGATGTGCAACAAGGACTAGTCAAACTCAAGATGTGTAATAATGACTTAGAAAAACGCAAACTTGAGTGATAATGACTTGAAATCCAAACTTGATAATAAGTGACATTGACACTTTCCTTAGTGATTTCCAAGGGTCAATTAGTCCCTTAAAAATAAACACACTGATGAATGAAGAGAAATGAAAAATAAAAGATTGTGCTTTAGTATAAGAACATGTATACATTTGGGGTAGTGAACCTCCAAAGAACTTAAACCGTTAAGTATAGAACGTTTTATGCTTTTGGTAGTAAATCCCCTAAAAGATTAAATCAGTAAGCATAGAACGTTGTATACTTTTGGTAATGAACCTCCTAAGCATGAAACATTTTATGCCTTTGGTAGTGAATCTCCAAAGAGATTAAACCATTAAGCATAGAACGTTTTTATATCTTTGGTAATGAACCTCCTAAGCATGAAATGTTTTATGCCTTTGGTAGTGAATCTCCAAAGAGATTAAACCATTAAGTAAAGAACGTTTTATACATTTGGTAATGAACCTCCGAAGAGATTAAACCATTAAGCATGGAAGAGTTCCTTTCTTATACCTGAACCACAATCTTAATTTTTCACAACTTTTTAATCAAAATAAGCAAAGAATGGATGGAGGTTGCAGAGATAATTATGCGAATTTGATTAATTGGTTAGTAGAAACAAACTTGATATTTAAAACATAAATCATTGAAATAAATTAAAAGCCCTCTAAATAGCATATAATAGTGCTGAAATTAAGCTATAGGAAGCGAGCACAATTAAATAGGATCAAGTTAGTAAACAAGTAGAAGGAAGGATGGCTAACCCCTCCACTTTTACAATTTCAAATCACATAATTTAGATGTTGAAAAACAGCCCCAAAAGAACTTGAGAGAAACCTACCACTTTTACTATTCACCGTCTTAGGTACTATTCATCCGGTGGGATAAATTATTGAAAGTAATAAATTGAAACAGTTTATACACAATATTTAAATTACAGCAGATATGTGAGTGGTGCAGCCTTCCCATTGAAATAGTAAAGTATAATAATAATAATAATAATAATAATAATAATAATAATAATAATAATAATAATAATAATAATAATAATAATAATAATAATAATAATAATAATAATAATAATAATAATAATAATAATAATAATAATAATAATAATAATAATAATAATAATAATAATAATAATAATAATAATAATAATAATAATAATAATAATAATAATAATAATAATAATAATAATAATAATAATAATAATAATAATAATAATAATAATAATAATAATAATAATAATAATAATAATAATAATAATAATAATAATAATAATAATAATAATAATAATAATAATAATAATAATAATAATAATAATAGTACTGGCGACAAAATGGGCGACTAAAAAATTTAGTCGCTGAATCTGAAAAATCCACTTTTGGCGACTAAAGAGGGACTTTTGGCGACTCAAAATTTAGTCGCCAAAGGTGATTTTTGTTGTAGTGTAATGACATGACACTCAATAAAAAAAGAAAAAAAATACAACAACAAGGCCAAAACATCAAATCATTCATGGTGGGGCCTACTGCCACATCATTAGTGGTAGCACTAATTGGTGCTCCCACTCATTTTCCTTTTATTTTATATAAAACACAGTACACCAAAAATATGAACAAACACATAAAATTATGAAAAAATACAAAAATATTAAACTAATGAAATATTCAGTATTTTAAAACAATTTGGCTATAATGATGAAGGTTGGGATTAAAGTTCAAATTCCATCTCTCTTACTGAGGATTCTGTGAGAAACACATTCCACTTGTCATCATCGAGTAATTAAAAGAAAGTGCCAAAATCTTGGAACCGGTCAAAATTGTGGTGTCTACCGACACAATACATATTAAAAAAATCATCTATAAAAAAATTATCTCGAAAAGGTGTATAATGTAGGCGTTGGGGGTAATGCTACAAAAAGCTAACTTTTGCCAAAAAATTTAATAAGTCACTAAGTTCTTTATTATCAGCTAGAAAAAATCAAATGTCACACCAACATTTTTCACTCACAAAACACTTTTTAATAATTTCCCAAACACATTAGTTTTTTGGCTTTTAAAAAAAGTCAAAAAGTCATTAAAAATGTCAATAGAAAACTCATATAATGCGAGTCACACCTATAATGAATATGATGCATAAATATAACTTTTTGAGTTAATTTTTAAGAGTATGTTTATTATTGTACACATAGTCACAAATAAGTAAATAAATTGTGAATAAATGGTAAGTATTTTTTTTTTTATTAGTAACCACACACAAAATATGCTTTGCATATATAATCACCAAAATTATATATTAAAATTTATTTACACAAATTAAGACAAAGAAAATTGTTGCAAAACTCAAAATGCAAAAATCTAGTCATGTGATTTTATAATTAAATAGATTTAATTTACAATAATAAAAATATCACCAATTCTATTAAAAACAATAAGAAAAAATATCAAATAAATATTATTCTTTCATATTTTTAAGTGTAAAATTACTAATCAAATTTATAAATAATTTGTAAGGATCGTTAATTTGAATTATAAAGTCAAATTAATTTATTTGAACCTTTATTTTTTGACTTACTAACCATAAAAGTTAAAATTGTTTGAAGATTGCTAAAATTTGATAAAATTAGAGATCTCTAAGCGGCTGTTGTATTTTCTTTGGGCCAGGGTTGGCCCTAGCTAGAGAGAAAGTTGAGAGTGGTGTTAGGAATGGAAAGGGGTTAGCGAGGGGAGGATGTCGATGGTTTATAGGGATAGTGGTGGCAAGTGCTTGTCAGGTTAGGATTAAGATTTGAGATTGGTGAAGGTGAAAGTATTTTGGTATTATTTTAAAATAAATTGTGTATTAAAAAAAAATTTAGGAAATTTACGCGCGAGTTGTGATGGACTTAAATACTTATAGTTCATGTGTAATTTTTTTTTTAATGCAGTAATAAGCCTTAAAATATTTATTTTGCCTCAATATTTTTTGAAAATGTAGATGTGTAACGAGTAGGACTTATAAGTAAATAAATTTAGCTAATAAGACTGACTTGTAAGTCTATCAAAATTTAATTGAATATGATGTGAACGGAGAATAATGATGTGCATTGTTTGATGCAACTTATATGCTTATAGCCTTTTTACTCTAAAGAGTCTATGCAAGATTTATAACTTTTTTTAGTTATGACTCATGAGATCTTTGATTATGTTTCATGCGGTGTTTGATTATGATTTTTTTTTTTTTTTAGTTATGACTCCAATAATATTAAATAATATTACTTTCTTATTTAGTTATAATTTATATATGATACACACATATGTATATTTTGATATATACAGACATGCAGATATGATAATTTTTAAAAATGCAAGACATGGTATTCAGACAAAAAAATATTTGTACCAAACACATGAATCCACTTGCACTATGGACACAAGGCACTTGCATCAACATAAAACTGCATTTATTACTCCACTACTCCATTGAAATGCAATTTTCTCTAACTTAATTAGACAAAAATAATTTAAATTTAAATAAACTATATACATAAAAAAAAAATTAGTTTGGTTATATTTGTTTTTTGAAAATTGAGTTTTTTATTTTCATATTGTTTTATTTTTATTGAATTTTTCTAATATTTTACACAATTTTTTTTAATATTTTTTTAGATACATTCAATCTAAATACACTTAAAAAGTATAATATTTATGATAAAATTTTAAAAAAATTCATCAAATACAAAAAATCTAAAAAATACGAAAATTTAGTATATTTTTATATTTTATTTTGTACAAATTTTATACTTTTTAAGTATATCAAGATTAAGTAAATCTAAAAATTATAAAATATTGATTAAAATAGTTTAAAAAATTACTAAAATTATATAACCAAAAAAAAAAAAAAACGAATTAAAAATTCAAAAAACCGTTTTTAAAATCCAAATCAATTTTGTTTGTGAATTATCAAATCTAGCTTATTTTGGAAAGTCAATTAAAAGCTAATTTTTTGACTCTTTTTATTTTTTTAAAAAAATATGCAAAAAAAAGAAAAAAAGAAAGAAAAGTGATGTGATTAAAAAAAAAAGAGTTTTGCTAGGAATTCCAAATAATTTATCAAATTTTCTACCAAACTTCTCACATAGGTGTAAGACACAAATTTAAGTTTGTGTAAGTCCCATACCCATATAAAAAATTTGTTAAATTTTTTTTTAAATTGTTTAGAATCATAACATTTTCCTTAAAAATAACTAAAACCCAAAAAACTTAGCTTGCGTTTGGTAGAGTTTTAAAATTATGATTTGAGAATGGATGAGCAATTTGGGAACTTTATAAAAAGCCAGTTTTTTGGCTTTTTGTCGAGTTCTTCCAAAAAAGTCACAGAAAAGCCATAAAAAAAATTAAAAAGTCAACTTTTTACTAATTTTCAAAACACTCTGGTGTTTGTATTTTGAGTTTATGGGTTTTGAAATTATGATTTGAATGTGAAAAATTTGTTTACTTATGAATTTTGAAAAGAATTTTGAGTTGAGTTTGAAATAAATGATGTGACATATGATATTTAATTAAAAAATTTATAATTCATAACTAAACACACAATACAAAATTTTATTCAAATCTCATAAAAAATTTTAAAAATATTTTTTATTTAAAATATAAAAATAATAGGTGAAAAAAAAACTAAACACTATTCGATGAATGGGCTGTATGTCTGGGTTAACTAAATTTTTACACTTAAAAAAAAGTTTTCAAAAATGAATATGAAATTATAATTTAAAAGTTCCAAATAAATGCTATATTTGATGAAAATCTGTTCGGAACACCTGTCGAAAACACAGCCTTACTTTTTGCGCACTTTCCAAAATATGCCCAACAGAACCTAGGATAATCCTTGCGTAAATCTCAGCCATGGGTTTTGGGGGGAGAGAGAGAGAGAGAGAGAGAGAGAGAGAGCAATAAAAAAAAGAGGTGGTGACGCCAAACAGAGTGAGGGTGAAAAATGTTGATCGCCACCGGTTTCACACCCTCCGGTTGCTCTCTCAGTTTCACCAAATTCACTCTTGTCCGTTCATCGCGCCCACAATCACCACTACCACTTACCTTCTTAAGCCTCCGTACCCGCACCACCACCACCACCACTCTCACCCGGCGAACAAATCACAACCAAAACCGGCCGGTTTTAGTGTTTTCCGGCGGCGGCGACGGCGGAAATGGCAGTAGCTCAGGCGGAGGCGGCGGAGGAGGAGGAGGAGGTGGAGAAGGGGAGGGATTCGAAGGGAACAAGAAGGAGGCTATTCTGGCTTTGGCAGAGATGGGGCGGTCGTTGGACAGCATTCCTAAGGATTTAGCGGCGGCGATCGAGTCTGGAAAAATACCGGGATCCATAGTTCTGCGGTACTTTGAGCTCGAGAAATCGCCACTGTTTCGTTGGTTGCTTCAGTTCGGTGGCTTTAAGGAGCGGTTGTTGGCTGATGATCTCTTCTTCGCCAAAGTCGCCATGGAGTGTGGTGTTGGGATCTTCACTAAGGTATTCTCTTTTTCTCGCTTGAGTGTGTTCTGTTTTTTAATTTGTATATTAGTGTAGATACTTGGTTTTTGATTTTCAATGCCATGATTTTGTGATCCAATGTCGCAAATTGTAATTGTGGTTTGATTGATTGATTAATATGTTAAGAAGGAAATGTTTATTGAATAATTTCCCATTCATTCAAGATTTACCAAAGGGGAAATATTTATTTAATTGTTGCTCAACTCAAGCAATTTTTCTATCCAACTGCTCCAAGAAATTGGAGCCACTTCTTGTACATCATCAGTCCTCTCTACTTGGTGAGAGCTTGACCTTGAGTTTAAGTACGGATAAAGTGGCTCGTTAGCATGATACTATATATGCTTGGCTTCAACTTGTTGTACGTGCCCATCGAAAACTTATTTTTGTGCAAGTAAATCATCACTGAATCTCTTTCCTTGAATACTTTAGTAGCCTCCTTATACCTGGCATTGGTTTTTTCTAGCTTCTATTTTACTTCATCCTGCACTATTTCAGCTCGCTTAGACATGACTTCAGCTACAATACTCACGTTTGGACCTCGTGGAAAATGAACCAAGTCCACTGCATGCCTTGGGGGTGTCACATAAACCACAGAGAAAGGTGATTTTCTAATGGCATCATGAACTGCACTGTTGTAGGAGAACTCGTCTTGTGGCAAAGGATGATCCCGTTGTTTCAACTTGTCTCTACATATGCTTTTGACCAACTTCCCTAGAGTTGATTTAATGAATTGCGAAACATCTTCCACAAAGTCACCCAAAAAGGGTGAAGAAACTTTAAGTCACGGTCGGAAGTAATGGAAGTGTACTTCATGCAAACAAACAACCTCCTAAAAAAGCAACCTTGCCAGATGAGATGCGCTTGACGTCTTTTGGTAAGAAATGAAGTGAGCCATCTTAGAAAACCTGTTGACAATTACTAAGATAGGATGTACTTCTCGTTGGGTGTGAGAGAGACCCAACACCCCAACACAATGTCTAGAGGCAAGTCTTTCCAAATATTGTTTGGAAATTGGAATAGGTAAAGACATAACGGCTAGTGTTTTGAGACTAACTCTTACATTCCTGACACATGTAGCACTTTCTCACAAAGTTCGTAACATCTCACTTCAACTGAGGCTAAAAGTAAAAGTTAACACTCCTCTAAACTTGCTACAGTCTTGTCCCTTCCAAGTCCCCACTTAATCCTCTACAATGAAGGTCTCAATTAGCTTCTCCCACAAAAATATTTTGAGAATGCCAAGACAATTTCCTTGAATAAGTATCCCTTGGTCTCATGGAAATCACTAATAGGTTGCTCTCTTCACATTTAACCCATATCTCCTTAAAGTTTTCATTTTCTTGGTAGAGCTCCTTCAAGAACTCAAATCCCACGACCTCATGAGCCAAAATTATTAGCAAATTAGCACGATGGCTCAATGCATTTGCTATTACTTTGTTAAAAGTCCTTGAATTGTGTTGAATGGTGGAAGGAAATTTATGCTGAAGTTATCTGTATATTTTGTGAGGAATAGGAACTCTTTACTTGATAGTGATTTTGTTGATAGCTCAACTGTTAGTACACATATGTCAACTATCATATTTCTTTGGTGTCAATAGAGTTGGAATGACACACGGATATGAGCTTTCACAAATAAACCCCTTTTGCATCAATTCTTCAACCTTCTTTCTCAAAATTGCATTCTCCTTTGGGCTCATCTGGTAGTGCGGTAAGTTTGACAAACTTGCTCCTGGTACAAAATCAATATGATGTTGTATGCCTATCTTTTTAAATTTCTCCAGCCATGGTTGTACTTTCTTTGGGACCAACATATTGCTTTCCCTATCTTTTTAATTACCATAGTCTTCACAACCATAGCATATACCTTTTGTGAAGTCTTAATATTTGTCATGAATTCTGCTTCTCAATGGGCTATGGTAAGAAAAAGATTGCCCTTACATTTTAGAAGGTTTGGACACTATTTGTTGTGGTGAAAGAAACATAACAATTTTATGAGTCCCCCACAAAAACAAATAAGTGTTTATTCCGACCCCTAAACCTGACATCCACATCAAATTGTCAAGGTCTACCCAACAATATATGGCTAGCATCCATGTCAATCTCATCACAAACATTTTCCTTACAATGATTGCCAATAGAAATAGGAACTCAGTAAATTTCAGTTACTTTTGTTGTCAGGTCCTTCTTGATCCACCCAATGTTGGAAGGATTGACATATGGCTCAATCGGCAATTTATTTGCAACACCATCCATGTTCAAATCACAAACCTTTTGACTAATAGAACAACAAGAGCAAATAATATTACGGTGATAATGTCCTTTGTCTTTGGCGTGAATAAACTGTTTGTCTTTGGCATGCATCATACAGTTGACTAGTTCTCCATCCTCTATGACGAGCTCACCCTCATCATTAGGATAATCGTACTCTGCACCCCATCAACTCCACAGTCATTATCCTTCTCTAGTAGGCTGATTGGCCTCTGCTTTGGAGAAACATTAGAATGGTGGCTGAGTTAGCTACACCTATAGCACTTGTTTGTTGCCAACTTGGCATAAGGTTTTGGGTTTCGCAGAGCATCTCTATTGGTACCTTCTCCATTGCACCCCTGGGTAGGTTTGTTGCTGTTGATGTTTGGACCCCTAACTTGGCTTTGAGAGCCACATTGTGTGCTTCTTCCACAATTGATAAAACCTGCAACCCAATCTTCTCCTAGATGGATGACTTCAACTTGTTGAGATACTTTATCTTCAAATTATTACGATTTGGAAGTCTAGAAAATTTGGCAGTGTAGGTAAACACAAACTTGGACCCTTATGAGCAATTTTGACATAACTGGACAAATATTGCTCATAATTTGGCAAATAGAAATATGTCCATGACAAATTGCTTCATTAGTCACCATGTTCTTTTGGATTCATTTCCTTGTCGTTGTCTGGTTTCTCTATAGCCAAAGAAGCATGGATACGGATACGCGACACGAACATGCCGACATGCTAATTTTAAAAAAATGCGGAACACGACATGTAGGGGACACACATGAAATATATAATTTTATATATTTATTATATGTCACATATATATATATATATATATATACATATTATTATAATAAAACAAGAAGAAAAGGACTTCTTGGATTAAAACACTTCTAAATTGGACTTATCAATAAAAATCCCTAAAAAAAACAATATGATACTAATTTCTATAAATTTATATGATTTTTCTTTTATTATTGTATTTCAAGTTATTTTGTTCAAACTTGTAATTACTTTCACTTGTGTTTAGTTGACAGCCACGTGTCTAAGAGATAGACACATGTGTTCTCCACGTGTCCGAAGAGTGCCCAGGTCTTTTTTAAAAAAAAAAAAAAAATAGGACACGTTTTGAGGAGTGTCGGACACATTTCGGAGAGTGTTCAAAGAGTGTTAGAGTCTGACAAGAACATGACACGGATATATCACCTTCATAGAAGTGCCCGTGCTTCTTAGTCTACAACTAATTCTGCCAAACTACAACACCACTGTTCAATTTGTAGGTGGCCAATTTCACCATCTTTGACTCAAAAACCTCCATTATCCCATTGAATCATTTAACATCGGAAACTCACTCAAGCAAAATCTTCAATATATAGATTTCCATTGAATTGGAAAATATCGACCTATCAAAAATATCGACCTTCAAATGATAGTCATCGATCCATAGTTGTTGTTTCCTTGGTTGGTGATCTATATAATCCTTTTCAGCCTTTGGTTCAGATTCTTCATTGTCTAATGGATACTATGCTAGATGTCTCAAAGCATTGGTGTAGGGTGAATCCTTTGGCACATACTCTGCCCTGGTTACTAGGTTGGCAGTGAGTGACACTTTCAGCGCATGCCGGATCAACCACTAATGGTTTGTTCTCTTGAAGACTTCTTACAAAGTACTGACTCCTAGATAAAAAAAAAGAACAAAAAAAGAAAAAAAAAGTACCGACTCCATGATCATCATTGATAGGGTTTGTGTATTCTTCCATGTCTCGTGTCATTGAGCAAGACAAATCCTTGCTTTGATACTCGCTTGATGCACTACATATCATTCTAGTAGATAAAAGGGATTCTCAAATCCACGAGAAAGAAAAAAACATTGAATCCACAAGAAAAGCTCATAATATTATTGACGAAAAATTATTTTTCCCTTGGTATTTATACTAAACCATGTCTTGGAGACCAATCAATTTGAAAATTGGGAAATAACCTAAATCTTGCTAATCAAGAAAAGCAATAAAGGAAAGGATTTATTCTTGCTAATCAAGTAAAACAAATAAGGAAAGTTTTATCTTTGCTAAACACAAGTTATCCAATTGCTCCAATAAATTTTAACCCACTTGTTCTACGTTAGTTCACAATAAGTTGCACTCCATATAAGTTTGAATTACATTTGGAGAAAAATGTTTTTGGTGAGCAAAACATTTATGATGAGCAGGTCATGAATAGAAATAAATTTTACTAAAGTATAAGTAGAAGTGAAATCTAATTTGTTGGATTTTATGAAGTCTTTTGAGAGAAAAGAGGTGCATAGGTTGTCTTTGTTTTTTTTTGTTTTTTGTGTTTGTATACAAGTGGCATTCCCTTTGATGCACTTTCATATTAAATTTTTTACTTATTATAAAAATTAGTTGAACTTACTGCATGCACGTATTTCTTTGACATTAGTAACTATTATATGGAACATATTCCTGATACAAAGATGACAGAAAAATATATGTATTGAATTGAATAATAACCAAACCTGAAGTACAATATGAATGGGAAAACAACCAAAACCCTAGAAGCCTAATTACAGATAATAAGACTAAACTACTGTTAATGAAACCCTAAAAGCCTAATTAGACTAAACTACCCTTTATGACTAAACTAAATAACAAGAACATAGACATAAGATATTTTACAATTCCAACTTCTCTGACATTTCAGTAAAATTTTCCTTTTCCTCCAAAACATTTTCCTCATTGTTTTTGTGTGTTTAATCATGTAATAAATCCTATGAAGCACGGACACGAGCACGGACACGGACACCGACACGGGACACAACAATTTCCAAAAAATGGAGACACGGATACGGCAGGGGGACACGGCGAATTTTTTATTTTATATATTTTTATGTGTTATGTAGATTCATATTACATTCATCCTAAATTAAAAATAACAAACACTAACATAGTAATATTAATTCAATAAATATAACTACTACATTTAAACAAATTAATAGATCATTCATTCACAAAAAAGTTATAATAAACGATAACAAGAACCAAGATGAGAAGGGACAAACATTCAACATCCAATAATATTCTTCACAAAAACATTAAATAAAAGAGGCAAAAGAAGAAGGAAAAAAAAAAAAAAAAAAGGAAAACCAGCCCCGCCTTGTCCCATGCCGTGTATATAGACACGCGTGTCCCCGCCGTGTCCCCTACAAAAAAATCATTAAATTAAAGGGACACGCCATGCATGTCCCCGTGTCGGACACCGCCACGACGTCGATTTTGGAGTGTCCATGCTTCATAGAATAAATCCAAGTGGGATAGATCCAATTATATTAATGCTTGGGTCTTGCTAATGACAGCCCAAGGACTGTTAATAAAAACCACATAAAACCAAAATATTTATAACCCCAATACATTTTGCATATCCCGAGACACTTTTACATATTTTTATTCGTTCTTTATGTATTTCAATACACTTTTTACATATTTTCCAACACTAACAACAGCGTTTAGAGCTGTCTTCAGCATTTTCCTATTTTAATCTTGGAAGCCAAGTGCAAAGAATAATTCATACTTATCTCCTAGGAATCAAAATTTGATCTGTTTATTTTCCTATGGTGTTGATCTTCATGAACATAAACTTGTCAGCGGCATGTGTGTCCATTTTGCTTTTTATTATGATTTTCAAAGGCTTAAACCACTTAAGGCACTTATGATTCATGCTCTTTGGATTAGGATAGGCCAATTATGCAACTTAGGGCTACCTGGGCTTATTGAACATGCAACAAGCTTCAGTCAAGCATTGCCATTGTCTATAACAGTACAAGCTGAACTTTATCACCTTTGCCAAAATTAAAAAAAAAAAGAAAAAAAGAAAAAAGAAAATGAAAGGAGAATAAAAGAAGAAAAGTACCTTCTTTCTTTATTTCATTTTCCCCCCTTTCTTTCTTCTTCTTCTTCTTCTTCTTCTTCTTCTTCTTCATTTTTTATTTTTATTTTTAAATTTAGCTGGTAACTAGCTATAATAAGAACTGGTTTTAAGTACAAAGTTCAAGAGGAGCATACTATCTTAGTACCTTTACAGGCAGTAGTAATATACCTGCTTAAAACGATGAAATCTAGTGAAAAATGGTTGTGATGAAGAATTGTATCTGTGCTAATTAAAAAGAAAAGAAAAGAAAAAAAAAATAGTGCATCAATGCTATTGTTTTGTCTAAGTTATATTCCCCCGTCTACCTAGTTCTCCCACCCCTACCCTATTTATTCTGGCTATAGAATATTTGTCTGAATGGACATAATCTTTTATTTTTTTTTTTTTGTTTTATTTCTCCAGACAGCTGCTGAGTACGAAAGGCGAAGAGAGAAATTTTTTAAGGAGCTGGAATTTGTTTGTGCGGATGTGGTATGATCTTTTATGATTAATTTGTCTAATATATTTTCATTTTTGTTACATTGGGCTGCTGAGTTCAATTCAAAATTATTTAAACTCATAATTAAAGGATAATTGGTCCATTAAAATTTTAGTGCCTGCCAGTCTTTCCTATATTTCTCAACTCTTGGGTTTGAATAGCTAGCAAGAATAGGGGACATTCATTTGCATTTTTTACTAGGATTCATCTTTACAGGCAATGGATTTTTTTCTTTAAAAAAAAAAAAAAAAAAAAAAAAAATTTATGAAACTTTCTTTTTTTTTTTTTCCATTTTATACCTTCAACCCCTCTTCTTTTTGTTTTATTAATGGACTTAGGTTGTTCCTTCTTTTATTTTTTTATTTTTTATTTTTTATTTTTTATTTTTTTTAAATTATGCATTTAACGTAGTGAAGAAATCAAGGATGAAATATGAAGATTTCTTTTTTAATGCAAAATCTAGGTTTCATATCAAAGGTAAACCACACCAAACCAAACTAAGCCAAACCAAGCCTTGTGTCCCAATCAACTGGGGTTGGCTAAATCAATATTTTTTTCTCCATTGTGCTCTATCAAATTACATATGCTCAGTTAAATTAACTAAATTCATATGTTCTTTTTTACAACATCCTGTGTCAATATAAGTTTTCTCCTCCCCATTGCGTTTCCATTAACCATGATTCCATTGAACTTCCTCATGTTGCCTCTACTTGTCTTTTTTGTACATGACCAAAACATCATAGTTTGTTATCTCTCAACTTGTCTTCAATTTGTGTTGTTCTTACCATTTCACGAATGTATTCATTTCTAATTCTTCCTTTTTCGATCTTACCACACATCCACTTCAAAATCCTCATCTTGGCTATACTCACTGTACTTATGTGTTGTTTTTCAGTTGCCCAATATTTTGTCCTGTAAAGTATTGTTGGCCGTATAGCTTTCTTATAATTTTTGTTTTTTTTTTTTTCAGTTTCGTTGGTATACCATGTATGTTGATCACATAGGCATAATATGATGGAAGCATTTCTTCACTTTAGCCAACGTACCTTCATTATATTGGCCACATTATTTCTATCTTCTCCATCTTTATTAATAATCAAATATAGATAACGGATTTATTCACTCTTTAAGTATCTCCTGATTTTCAATCTCTACTCCTTCATGATTTCTACCTGTAATGTTTCCATATTAAAGTTTATTTTATTTTACTTTCATTTTCTCTACTTACTTTTTGTGGTGGTTTGGGCTAGATGATATTCATAAATAGATTGTCCTCTTGTGTAATATCTACTCTTGAACTTGCGTAGCCATTAATCTTGAATATGCATCTTTTATGGGTGAATTACACTAACAGTCCCTATAGTTTGAGGTTTGTGTCACTTTGGTCCATGACTTTTCAATTGTGACACATTTGACTCTGAATTTTGAATCTTGTTTCAAATAAGGACAATTAAAGATACCATTGCTCAATTTCAAGGGCAAAGTTGTCATTTTGATAAAATATAAACTAATTTGACAAAAATAAATGTCAAAAAAATATTTTTGAATTTTCAAAAATTATTTCTACTCACTAAAGATAAAATTATGTAAAATTGATAAATTTTTTACACATTTATTTATTTATTTCTTTTACCAAATTAATTTTTATTATGTGTTTGGATGATGATCATGTAATGGGTTGTTTTTATTTTCATTAAATTAGTTTTTATTTTTTCAAAAGTCAAACATTTGATATCATTATTAAACCAATTGATTAAATTAAAAAAATCCAAAACTAAAAATATTTCATATATTAAATATATCAATTACACATTAAAAACCTAACAACCGTACATTACATGATTATTATCCAAACACATAATAAAAATTAATTTGGTAAATAAATAAATAAATAAATAAATAAATGTGTAAAAGATTTATCAATTTGACATATTCTTATCTTTGGTGGGTAGAAATAATTTTTTAAAATTCAAAATTATTTTTTTGACATTTATTTTTGTCAAATTAGTTTATATTTTATCAAATTGATGATTTTGCTCTTGAAATTGAGCAATGGTATATTCAATTATCCTTATTTGGAACAAGATTCAAAATTCAAGATCAAATGTTTCACAATTAAAAAATTAGGGACCAAAGTGACACAAGTCCCAAATTATAGGGACCGTTGGTGTAATTCGCCCCGGCCATCTTTTATTTTTTTTTTTGATCGGCAAACAAACTTTATTGATGGAAGAGGAAAATTTACATCAATAAAGAGGAGCTTGGAGCTAAACAAGCTCCAACCTCCTAGTTGGTGAGGAACCAACGAACAAACAAAACAGAGAAAAAACCAGAAAAATCTGCACCAATGCTGAGGAGTGAGACCCTCCAGCAAATGACAACCATGCTGCAACCACACATCTTTGTGAGATCTGATAGAAGCAAAATTATACCAGCAGTACCCACCAAGAACAAGCAGAATTAAAGCCAGCCTTCACCTAATTCTGCTTCCTCCTCCTCTGTACAAACCAGCCCAGCTGAATGCAATCAACACCGTCCACTCCACTCCACTCCACTACCAGCATACACCTAATTGCTCAAGCAATCAGCATTCACCAGATTGACACTGCAGTATTCAAAGCCAAAATTTGCTTCGAATACACTGCTACCAGAGCTTCAACCGAAACAGCCCACTGCAGCAGCTTAGAGCAGATAGCACCAGCAGACAGACAATTCAACAGCTAAAAGACAATACAGCAGGCAGACAAATCAGCAGACATACAAGCATATGTAAATCAGATTCCAAACACTAATTTCCACCCCTGATCTGTCTCCAATAGAAGAGAAGATCATCAACCTATCCCTCTTCGACAAAACTTAATTTGTTGTAGGTTAAACAAGAATTCATTAACAGAAAAAGGCAACTTCGGGTCCGCAGCCCTAACCCACATAGCAGTCCTGGATTTAATTAAATCACATAGACCATGTAGATCTGGTTGTCTATCAGAGAACAACACCTCATTCCTGTGTTTCCAAATAGACCATAAGGAAGCTATAGGCAACACATTCCAGACTTTTCTCTCAAAACTATTACCTGAAAATCCGGCCCAAAACTTTAAAACTCCATCCACTGTTGCCGGCATAACCCACTGAGATCCCCACCAGAGAAGTATATCAGCCCACACCCTCCAAACAAAAGGACACCACAACAGAACATGATTGACAGCCTCTACTTCAGCTTTACAAAACACACATTGGATATTAGCAGTACCTGGAATAACACCAATCCGTTGAAGGAAAGATGACGTCTTTAACCTTTGCCTCCAAGCTAGCCACACAAAAGCTTTTGCTCTAGGAGTCGCAACATTCTGCCATATCATCTTGGAGATAGTACCATAGTCATTAGAGACTAAACTATTCTCACACCACTTATATGCAGCTGAGACACTGAAGCAGTTCGAGTTTTCAGCCCCCCAACAAAACCCATCAACCTTATCAGCCCTCAATTCACGGGTGTTACTTACCAAATTAAACAAACAAAACACCTCTTCCTTTTCCCAATCTCGGAGTACTCTAGTAAAGCATTCCTCCCAATCATATAAACTCCTTCTTAAATCAATCACTTGCTTGACTGTTTTCAGCTTATCAGGGGAGATACGATAAAGTCGAGGAAAATCCTCTTTTAAACACCTAGCACTAGCCCACTTATCCTCCCAAAAGAGAGTTCTATCCCCATTACCAACCGATATGAAAGTATTGCTGATAAAGAAGTTATGCAGACCAGGTCTAGAAGCTGCCACAGAGAGTATATCCTTCCATAACCTGGAATGCATCTGGGAGGCTTCCGTATTTGGGTACCACTTGCTGCCTTGGATGTTATATTTCCCACATAAAACTTTCTTCCACAACAAATTCTCATCACCTCCAAACCTCTACCACCATTTAAGGAGCAAGCAAGCATTAACATCCCTAAGACTCTTGATGCCTAACCCTCCTTTAATAACACTCCGAGTGACTTCAGACCATTTAACCATATGTATCTTGCTCTTAATCACCGATCCACCCCACAAAAACGCGGCTTGAATCTTGTCTAGCTCTTTAGCAACTCCTTCAGGCATCTTGAACAGAGAGAGATAATATACTGGGAGGGTAGACAATACTGCTTTGATAAGAGTTAGTCTTCCTGCAAGGGATAAGAACCTTCTTTTCCAACTTGCCAACTTAACTTTAACTCTATCCACAACAGGTTTCCAGGTCTTCAACCTTCCGGGATTAGCCCCGAGAGGCATCCCAAGATACTTAAACGGCAGCTTTTGACACTTGCAGTTCAGTCTACCAGCAAATTCCTCCAACAGGTCATCTTGCACCCCGATGCCAGAAATTACACTCTTGTGGTAGTTGATCCGAAGCCCGGAGATTAGTTCAAAACAATGCAGAATCCTCTTAATATTCACTACTTCCCCCCATTCTGCCTCACAAAAAATAACAGAATCATCGGCGAATTGAAGATGGGACACAGAAATTTCGTTAGCCCCAAGAATAGCTCCCTTGAATAAATTTAACTCCCTAGCCCTTGTCAACAAGATGTTAAGGCCCTCGGCAACCATATTGAAAAGAAAAGGGGAAAGGGGATCCCCTTGCCTAAGACCTCGAGATGGGCTAAACTCCGATGTGGGGGAGCCATTCACAAGAACGGAGACTCGAATGTTGGATATTTTCCACATCTCATCTCTGATTTCCCTTCTACTCAATTTCTCCGCAGTAGATAGCTCTCGAGTTTCATTTATCAAATCAAGTTCATGTAGTTTCTCTTCAGCCCTCTGTAACTTTACGGATATAGTTCCAAACACTTCACTATTCCATCTCTTTAAGACTTGTTTAACTTGTTGAAGTTTTTTGAGCATTACAAAACCACCCCAGCCTGTTATGTGTAACTCTTCCCATGCCTCCCTAACCACTTTGGAGAGTGTAGGATGTATGATCCAGGCATTTAAAAATCTGAAAGGTTTAGGACCCCAATCCCTCTCATCCTCCATTAACAAAATTGGACAATGATCAGATACAATTTTTGGCAACCCCCACAATTTAATATTGAAGCTTTCAATCCATTCAAGGTCCAGCAGAAACCTGTCAATTCTACTCCATATCGCACCCTCCTGAGCATTACACCATGTAAATTTTCTTCCAATCATTGGAATATCTGTGAGCTCACAAGAATCAATAAAAGCATTGAACTCCCTCATTCCCCTATCCCTCCTTGACACACCTATACGTTCACTAATCAGTCTAATTTCATTGAAATCCTCCCCCATACACCAAGGAACTCCCTCATTCCCCGATCCCTCCTAGACACACCTATGCGTTCACTAATCAGTCTAATTTCATTGAAATCCCCCCCCATACACCAAGGGCTAGGAAAAATACTTCTAAGCTGTTTAATAACTTCCCACAACCTCCCCCTCTTACTAACATCAGTAGGAGCATACACATTCATCAAAGCACAATTAAATGCATTATAAATAGTACCTTTTAGAAGAAGGAAATTCCGGTTGCCACAACATTCCTGTAGCTGAAAAAATTCAGGATCCCAGACACAGAGTATGCCACCCGCACTGCCTTGAGCCCCAACCTCCATATATTCAAACCGAGCACTACCCCAAATGGATCTAATATCACACTCTGATACCAACAATCTCTTTGATTCCTGCACGAAAAGCATCCCAATCTTTCTTTCCTTTACTACTTTCTTGATTTTGTTTTCTGTAGGTGATGGCCATAATTGCTGATTTCATGCTTGTCTACCTTCCTGCTCCTACTGTTTCACTCCGTCCACCTGTTGCAGTCAATGCTGGATCCATTGCTAAATTCTTTTATAATTGCCCTGACAATGCATTTCAGGTTACTGTTTCGCCCTTTTAACTAATGTATTGAGTTTGAATTTTGTAAAGATAATATATATATACGTGTGTGTTATTTTGGTGCATATTATTAATTATCTAGTCCACAAATCCTCGCTCTAGGTTGCTCTGGCTGGAACTTCGTATACATTTTTGCAGAGAATTGGTGCAATAGTTGTAAGGAGCTTTTTCTTTCTTCTTTTCTTAATTAGCATATTTGTTTTGAGAAATTCAAAATATTTAGAGTTAAATGACAATCTACTACTTGTTTGGATTTGTTTTACAGCGCAACGGGGCAAAGCTTTTTGTAGTTGGCACCGCTTCATCCCTGGTAAATTTAACTTTTCCTTTTTTCTTAAATATATATATATATATATATTTTTGTAGATTAAGACCTAGGATACGGGTATGTTATGGGTACGCAAATACAACAATACTTAAAAAAATAGGATATGGGTATAGTCGGGGTATGTCTATAATTTTTCATTTTTCATTTTATAATTTGTAATGGTGCATGATTGATAACAATCAGAAAATGAAACGCAAAAAAAATTAATGCTGATCCTCAGTGTTGTGTTGAGTGTTGAGCGTCAGCCCTAATTGGTTGATTGCTGCTGCAGACAGTGAATGGAAGAAGCTTTGTGATTGTGAGAGAGATATTGATGTAAATCTCTGTAATGGCCAAACAAAGGTCCCCAAGTGTTTCTTATATTTTGATAATTGAAAAAATACCCTTTCTTGAAAAGTTTTAAAAATAGGAACAGTATAATTGTTTCAGTGCTTCAATATTTTTAAAAATTACATTTATGCCTCTACAAACCCACCAAAGTACCCAAAACATACCCTCCTGTAAACACTTACCCCACAAAATTACATTTATCCCTTTTTCTTGCACTGAACATTACACGTCTTGACATCCTCATTTTGGCTACATTTGTTTATTGTTTATGAATTTGGGCATTTTTATGTAAACAATTTCTGCCATTTACATTAGAACATGAAGTTATGGTTTGGTGGGTTGGATTGCTTGAAACCTAATCTCCAGTTACTACTACTAGTCTACAGTATTTAGTTGGTTCTTCAAACTGTACTAACATATACCTAAAACATCAGTCATGCTTGCCCAATAGTTTGGTAAAAGTTCAATGAAGTTTTTGCTGCATCATGTGAATGGATTAAATAAGTTTCTCTTATTCCGAGCCTCAGACAAGCTGCTCTGAGGGTTGTACACCATGCAGCCTGCATATCAGACTGAGGTTCTTATTAAGGAAGTTTGCTGCTCCTTGGAGAAACATGATGTCTCTAGTTTGAGTCTCTGAAATTACCCAATATCTATAGTTTGTTGGTGGTTGTATCCTGGGTTCCTTTCATATTAGTACAATTCCTCTCTCTCTCTCTCTCACATATTGGTTCACAGTATAGAGATGAACTGTTTCTATCTGCTGTTAAACTTTATTTGAGGATTATTAATATTTTTTATTTTTTATTTTGGTGCTAATTCAACGGGTTGACTTGTAAATTGGAGGTGAAATGTAAATTTGATATTTAAGATCAAGTATGGTGTTATTATTATTATTATTATTATTTTTTGATTGGCACTGGGGTGTTTGGATTAAAGCCCAACTAATCCCTAGGGGTGCACAGGCCCTCTGCAAGGTCAAGTACGGTGTTATTATGATTGGTTAGTAACTTCATATGTGTTTTGTTGAAGTTTTAACCCCGTCCCTTTACACAAATATGCAAACAAATGTGCACAGGGAGGGGACGTGAGATAGTTGGAGGAGCAAAGCAATCAGTACAGAAGAGCATATGACTTCTTTTCTTTTGTTTATGTATCATATTTTTTTCTACAATTACCAAATATCCTCATTATAAATGACAGTAGGATCAATTTTCTCCATATTTAAGGGACTGTTAACCTCCACCAAGCATGCAGGTGCTTAGCATGGGTTCATATGGATGAAAAACAATGAATGCCACATTGGCTTGGAGGGCCTATTACTAGAATATTGTTCTATACAATCTACACACTTGAGAATGCCAAGGTCTTTCAGTAGTAACTAATTATTTAGCAAATGCTTGAAATTTGAATTGACCAAAAAATCGCTTCTCTCCATCTGCCCATCCATTCCCTTACATCTACCTACTATAGCACTTCTATGTAATGGATGGTCTGTTTTGCTAATTTTGTGCTCATTGCATAATCATGAATGTTGTTAACACCTTACTGACATGGTCACTTACCTATTACTGGGTTTTCACATTCAGATTTTGCTGTTGACTATGGGTGGAGATGTGTATGTTTATTCATATGTTTAAAAGGTTTAGTTGGCAGGATTAGTTTCTTGATGATAATTACCCCTAACAAGTTCCAGTTTTGATCTTTGTTTGTGTTGTATTGTATCTCTTAATTTCTTAAAGAAGAATATGAATTTGTTTAAGTCAAAGTTTTAATTTTGAAATTTCTCTATAAAATGGATTTCATTTTTGTCCAGATTGGCACAGTTGTTACAAATGCCTTGATGGCTGCAAGGAAGTTTGTTGATAAGTCCTTTACAGATGAGGTAGAGAATGTGCCTGTATTAGCTACTAGTGTTGCCTATGGTGTCTATATGGCAGTCTCCAGCAACCTACGGTATGTTGGATTTCTGTCTTCTTATCTTTATAGTCTGCCAGATAGTTGCTTATCAATCTGACCATTCAATATAGTGACTTCCCTTTATTATAGTAATATTCTTGTAATGATATTAAGAGTTGGTTTGGGATGTTCTAAAAAAGTGTACTTTTTGACTTATTGGCTTATATGGTTGGGTTTGATGTGATGTGTTAGAGAGGTGATGTGATTTAAATAAGATGATGTGACTTAAATAGGATAGTGACTTTTTGACTTTTTGTATTATTTAGTTTATGCCAAACCAACCCTAAGTCCCGACTCTCAAGCTGTAATGGAGTACTCTCTCTCTCTCTCTCTCTCTCTCTCGCTTTCTCTTCCTTGCTTTTTCTACAATAGAGACAATTTTGTACCGTAAATATTTAGTTTAGGAGTTCCTAGATATAGTAAGGATATGACATTTTACTTGTAGGCATCCAAACATATGCATGAGGGAATGTATGAATAGCATAGACGTGATTGTAATCTTCTTTTCTTTTCTTTTCTTCCTATATTTCATGATTTCATCTCTTTTGTTCAAAATTAGTTCAAGTTTTGTTAATTTAATATAAACTCTTTCAACACCTTAACCTGACAAATTACAGTTTCAAATATCATGACATCCTGCATTGCACCATTTGACTCTTATTGAAAATGTGTTTAGGAGCGTTAAATTCATTTCATACTATGTTCAAGGACATTGGAAAATGGCCAAATATTTATAGTTCTCTGTTTTCCCCAGTTTTCTAGGATAAATAGTATTTTTATGTAATATCGAGCACTAAGCATGGCACTCACTTATTTTGAAGCAACCATGCCATAAAAGTAATTTAACAAAGGAGTTTAATCTACTATCATGTGGTAAACTAGAGTTACTAGACGTTGTTATTGGGTGGATATTCATTTAGGGACATTATTGCCCTTAGTTGCCATCTTTTCTGCAAGATAATAACCATGTATACATAGAAGGTGCTGTATCAAACACCGACACTCGTTAGACACCTGTCTAAATGTGTTCTGTTGTTATTAATTTTAATTTTAATTTTTTTTGAACCTGATATGCTTCAAATACTTGGAGGACATGTATTCATTGGTTAGACATACTAAACACATTGCAAGTTTCAGGGATATGGTTTGGATGACAATCATTAAAATAAAATAATGTGGATTTATATTTAATAATTTCTTCTCTTTAGGGTTTTGAATTTATTATTTGTTTTATTTTATTTTTGATTGGTAAGTAAATTTGATGTTGCCCATGCAAAAAGAGGTTAAACCATCATAACCTATGGTGCTCAAAACAAAAAGGCGCATACACTCAAATGACAGTATAAGGCCTATAGTGTCTTACAAATGGGGGGAATTAATTACAAAATCAGTGAGTGTTCAAGGTTAAGCATAATCTTCCTTGAAATCTAACCATATAGAATGGTCAAAAAATAGCTTTTGAGCCTATAAAGAGGCTCCCTCCATTCCTTGAAAGGTTCTCTTGTTGCGCTCTCTCCATAAATCAATATCTAGCACAAAGAAGCTAGAAACCATGTCTGTCTTTGCTTTACTACCTCACCTCCATTCCAACCCTAACATGACACCCTCGACATCTTTGTGAAAACGTAATCCATAAACGAGGCCAAAAACCAACCCCTATAAATCCCTAGCCACCTCGCAATGAAGGATTAAATTAGAAACTCTTTCCTTTTTAGGTTTTTCTGCCAATATAGTTTTTAAAAATAGATATTGCAACTTTTTATTTACATTTTTTTATCCTAATAAATGGAATGTGAAAAATGTTAGTTTTTCTTTTTACTATTTGAGGAAATTCATTTTAGGGTAAGTACCCTAAAATGGTAAGTACCCTTCATTTGATCCTCTAAACTATTCTTCAAAAATCAATTAGACCCCTGGAATATTTGAATTGGGGTCAATTTAGCCCTTGTTGCACCTGTCATCTACAATCAGGCAAAATTTGTGGACCTGACCCCCCAAGCTCTTATTTGGTGAGAAAATGAAGTCTTTCCCACCTATGAACATTAACCTTGTGTGAGAGACAACCACAGGGGTGAGTAATGTTGTACAAATTGTGTGAATTAAATAAAAGAAATAGATTCATGGTAAATTAAATTGGAAAAACCATAGAATAAGAATTCATGGGAATTACATCTAGATGAATAGAAATACATATAACAAATTAAAATACTAAAATGAGAAAAGAAAACAAACCGAAATCTGTGTGATCCTATAGTCTCCTTAAAACAGATTCACTGTCTCACCGTGGGTACTAGAGGTATGTCAACACCTATCTTCCAGGATACGACGGTTTAGAACCCGCTACCATTGAAACACCTTATGTTTAGCTTCGGCGAACTCTCACATTGGAAGAAGATTATTGGAGCAAACTGACTATTAATTTAGAGAGCAAAAATTTTGTACTCCAACCAAAGAGGATGGTCTCCTTTTATACGCAATGAGGAAAAGAGGAGGAGAGAACTTAGCTTATTTTGTGATTATGGGATCATATTCACAATGTTGAGCATGCCCCATGGCAAGGCTATGTGTAATTCATGGCTTCCAAAACCATGTGTACCTCATGATTAGGCCATGTGTGTCTCATAGTCTAAGACACTATTAAGGCCATGTGTCCCTTATAGTCTAAGACACTATTAAGGCCATGAGTCTCTCATGATTAGGCCATGGGTCTCTCATGGTTAGACCATGTATAAAATGCTCAATTATCATTCTCAATATCTCATTCATGAGACCAACTTTCTGAGACAATTTTCATTCAATTCTCAAACCAGAAAGCCATTTTTTTCCAACAATCCCCCACATGAATAAAATTGACCGAATAAAGAATAATATGTAACGTTTAACAACAAAGACTTCGAGAGAGAGCACACAAAGTAACCTTGCATCAGAAAAGGTTGTTGTTGGCCTTGAAGCTTTTGTAGTGAAAGCGTATCGGATTTACTAGCTGATCAATGAACGTGATGTCTTGAACTGTTCTGCCGTTTGTGTAAACCAAGACAATAGACCTCACACAGGAGTTACTCCAACCATTGTTCTTGTTCTCACTAGCGTGTCCGGTATGGAGGTGGAACAATAGCCTGGTTCGGTGAGTCCTTTTAAAGAATTCGGTCTTGTCAATTCTTAAAGAAGCAGCCCCACTTCGCACTAATTTTGGATTCGGCCGCCGATAAGGCCTTCAATTTGCAATTTAAACATACAAACAGGAACAGATAATCAAACAGTCAGACAGATAGAATACAATTTAACACACACATACTCAGTCAATTCGATTCCAGTTTTCAGTCAGTCAGTTCAGTACCTTAGGCAGTTCAATTATCAGTCAAAATCAGTCTCGGTTAACAGTAATTAGCGGTTAATCAGTCATTAATCGGAAAAACAGTATGAGGGTTGTTACAAACCGTCTCTGTTTGTGTTTGACCCCTATTTGTAATATTTCTTCTCCATATGAACGTATGCTTACATTTTTGTGTATAATATGAGGTTGCATAAAAAATGTGGTAGCTTGATATATATTATTGATTCAACTTTTCTAAAATTAAAATATTTTGAATAATTGATGATCTAATAAACATAATGTTGTACAAAGAGAAAAGTGATAATTTTTTTAATGGAATAATATGGTTAAATTGTTAAATATAGTATATATATATATATATATTATTTATATTAGACATATATCGTGACAGAAGGCCAGAAAGAGAGAGCACGAGTGAGACGAAGGCAGAAGGCAAAGACGAAGGCAGAGGAGACGACGATCAGCAAGGAGACGATCTGCGAGAGAGAGAGAGAGACGAACTGCTAGAGAGAGAGAGAAAGACGATCTGCCAGAGAAAGACAATTTGCTAGAGAGAGAGATGAACTGCGACAAAGACGACAAACACACACAGAGAGAGACGACCTTCGAACTGATGAAAGAAGAAGAAAAATGAAGCAAATGAAGACATACCCAAAGACGACCTTCAGGTTCTTCTTTACTTTCTTTCTCCTCTGTCTCTTTGTTGACCAACAAGCTAGGGTTTTTGTTCATAGCCACCAACGATCCCATCTTGGACAGGATCGCGTCTCTCTCTACAAAAACACGATTCTTACACGTTTCTTTCTAAGAAATGCGGAATCGCGTTTCTTACGAAGATTCGTCACTTGGTTGCACGATTCCTGCAACTAAGAGGTGACCTATATAAGATATCTCATTGTACCACGGTTAATTATTCATATCATTTAGGTCATTAAAAGCATTAGTTTAAACTCCCACCCCCACAGGGTATCACTGAATAAAGGAATGGGCAAGAGGATTTACCTCTTCAGTGACTCACCCATTACACGTAATTAGGTTATCTCTTTGAACCTAGATCTTGGGATCTCCAGTTAGCTAGGTGGGGTTTTCCGTTTTGGTAACATTTACTGAAGGCCTTAACCCCATTCATCTTGACGACGTATCTACTAACTCTCGAGTTAGCCCTTTGGTTAGTGGATTCACAATATTGTCCTTAGACTTTATATAGTTTAGAGAGATAACTCCATTAGAGAGTAGTTGTCGTATAGAATTATGTCTACGACGGATATGTCGAAACTTTCCATTATATATATTACTATGTGCCCGTCCAATCGCTGATTGACAATAACAATAAATACATATAGCAGGCATAGGTTTTGACCAACGTGGAATATCTTCAACAAATTGGTGAAGCCATTCTACTTTTTCAATTGCTTTATCTAAAGCAATAAATTCAGATTCCATTATTGATCTAGATATACATGTCTGCTTGGAAGATTTCCAGAGCATGGCTACCCCTCCAAGGGTAAACACATAACCACTAGTGGATTTGTAGTCTTTTATATCAAATATCCAATTAGCGTCACTATATCCTTCTAATACTGCTTGGTATCTGGCATGATGTAGCCCATAATCCAGGGTGTAATAGAGATAACTCAACATACGTATAATTCCTTTCCAATGA